GGCGGTCACAGTTTTGAAGAATCGACGTTTGGTCGAGACGGCATAAGTGAAGCAAACGGATAAAGTGATTTCGAACTTACCAGGAAATTTGCAGAGAAAAGGCCTCACTTCTTTCGAGTCGAAGTGAGCGAACTGCTGTACGTCGGTTTTGAGGAAGGCGGCCCCAGAAACCCGACGCCTGGACTTGGAGGCTGTCGGCGACATGACCGACTGCTCGATCTCGGGCTCGGGCCCGGGCAAACCGGTGGTGGCCGGGCTGTGGTCAGACCGGCTCCGACGAACGGAGGCATCGAGACTATGCAGTTCTTCGAGCCCATGACGTTCGGCCACGCCTCCAAGGCCGGCGGTGCGGGCTGACGGGCCGACGTACCGTTTGCGTCGCATTTCCACCTCCCGCACACCTCCGAGGCGCCCTACCAACCCTGACTCGCGACCCTCCCCACCCCGACGCAACCGATCATGCCACCAACCCCCGGATTGAGGCTGCCGCATGATCAGTTGCGCAATCCCTCCTTCTGGCCAGCAGCCTTCGTGTACGCTGGCCATGCTTGTCCCAGCCAAGTCGAGGCCGACCGTAGGTAGGGACAGCATTTATAGAAAAAAATGTAGAGAATATAAAGGGCAGATTTCAACTTGGATTTTATGAAAATAAGATCAGGAATCAGGATGACAACCAAAAGTGGATTTGCCTGCCCTCATCATAACTGAGCCAACAATTGGGACCGTTACTAAGGAAATGGAATATCAGGGTGATAAAAAAGGAGAAGAAAACACTTTTCACAAGTCTGCCGACGCCAAAGCAAGCACTACCACAACATTTGTGGGTTGACACACAAGCGACTAGGTCATGGCAAGTCATAGACTTGGTATTAGGAATAGAGACAGGATAGACGAGGCAGCGATTGGAGCCATTTGGCTCAGAGAAACCTATCCATCATCCCATCGCACCTTCCCTGTCACAATTTTTACCTTGTTTATTTGATGCCCCTTCGAGCGGCATTCATGAAAACCCTTCATACTCCACACTGTCGTTCTCACCCCCATTGACCCTTGTGCTGTGAATGTTGACCATAGTCTGTCATATTGTTACGTAGTCCATTCCTGGGTGCTATCAAAGTCTCCCTCTTGCCT